TTTTTTTTTTTTTTTTTTTTTTTTTTTAAGGGACCTCCATACTGTCTTCCGTAGCAGCTGCTCAGGCAGTACACACGCATTCCAGTTTCTGCACATCCTGGGCAACACTTGCTAGCCTTGGGGGTAGTTTTAAGGAGGTGAGCAGTTTCAGTGAAGTTGAAGCCAGAGAGCAGAGGACTTGGGCTTATGTGAGAGTTAAACTGGAACCAGTGAGCAGTTAAGCAAGCTGGTTGTATGTAACAAGATCAGGGAAGAGACAGTGGTTGCATAGGGCTCAGATGATAAGAGAGCTACCGAACCTCTTTAAACAGTGTTGGAAAGAAACTAAGAGAGAATAAAGTAAGTGAGAATGAATCTCAGAAAGCCATTGTCTAAAAATTTTGAAAAAAATGCACTTGTCAAGAAATAAAAAAATCTGAATCCACTGCTATGTGGGTTTCCTCAGACTGCAGTACTTTACTGAGTTTAGCCAGCAGGTGGCCACTTTTTAATGTTGATTTTTTAAAAAGGCATCTTGATAGACTTGGAAATTCCAACAAATTTTATGAACTTGTGGGTAAACTGCAAGCACTGATGTTTTAGTACCCAGTGGATAATGTTTCACTTGCTTATTCCACCTCCTAAAATAAACATAGGTGTGATGTAGGTCGTTTGGGGGGCAGTTATTTAGCATAATGGTAGAAAGCATATGAACTAAAGCTGTCTGATTTGATATACAATTTCAGTGCTTTTCTTTTTTTGGCTAGGTTTTTAGTTCATTCAAATAAGGAATGTATGTATGTATATCAATAGTTTTTTTTTTTTTCAATTAGGAGGAACTAAATGATGCTGTAGGATTTTCAAGAGTCATTCATGCCATTGCCAATTCGGTAAGTGAAGCAGATTTTTTTGTTTTTAGCTAAATTGCTGAACATGATGTTAAAGGTGAAGTGCCTCGTCACCCTTGGGGTTTTTTGGTTTTTTGGTTTTTTTGGTACCGTGGATCGAACTTGGGACCTTGTGCTTTTGAGGCAGGCAGCAGAACCACTGAGCTAAATACCCAGCCCAATCATCTTTGTAAATTAATCATTTGGTCAGAGTATTTTTGTGATATGGAGGAAGTAAAAGTCTTTTTAAGAACAGAATTGATGCAATACACTGCTTCAGAAAGCCTTGTAAAAATGGATAGAGGGATTATACTGTGATGTTGTGACATAGCTATATCAAACTAAGGTTTATTCTCAAAATCAGTGAGAGGTAGAATAAGTAAAGAATGAGGGGAGAAATAATCATATTTGATTGAAGGTATTTTATTTCCTAAATAGAATAATTGGGAGGATAAAAATAATTATGTCAGTGTTGAATTTTTTTTTTCTCTTCTGAGACAGGGTCTTGGTATGTAATTCAAGCTGGTCTTGAACTCACTCTATGGCCATGGCTGGCCTTGAACTTGGGGCTGTCCTCCTGCCTCAGCCTCCTAAAGTATTGAGATTATGGGTGCACATTCTTTTTTTTTTTGGTACTGGGGATTGAACTCATGACCTTGCGCTTGTGAGACAGGCAGCGGAACCACTGAACTAAATCTCTGGCCCTAAATTCTTACATATAACTGGTGTTTTTTTTTTTTGGTAATTGAGTCTTATGTCTGATAACCTTAAGAATATTTGATAAATTTTACAAATCTATGATCAATGTGATAGATGTTTTCACTTCCTTTCTGAAAAAAGTCATCCACATTATCACAGATAAACTGGATCATTCTACCAGTGGTTTTTGTCCTACCGCCTCTTTGGATACTAAAGTACTTGGAGTCTGAGCATTTCTATTCCTGGAGCAGTTGACTCAGGGCACAGGAATCATTATGTCCCTTAGGTGCTGAGCTTCATTTCAGGCCCCTCTTAGGCAGGGTTCTGTGGCTTACCAGGTGCAGGTCTGGAAACACCGACCTTAGAAGGGGAGATACACTGCTGTTCTTGTGAGTTCCGGGACCTGGTAAAAGAAGAGGGTGGACTCTAGGAAAACTCTTACCAGGAAATGAGGCAATCGGAACAACATCCACTGAGAACACGGGTAGAAAAAAAGCAGAGACGAGGTTCTGATCGCATCTACTCGGGCTGTACACATCTGCTCAGCACACTCAGATCGAGTACAGAGATTGGGACAGCAGTTGGCCTTGAGCGTTTGGATAGCTGTTATGACAGATGAATAAATGTTTTCAAGGTTATGGTATTTGTCTCCCTTGTACATGTTCCGATACCTTAGCTTGCTCCATCTCTCTTTGCTCTTCTCTGATAGCCCTCTTCTACACAGTGTGTTTCTAACCATTGGTAGTTAGCATCAAAGTGTGCAAAGAGGAAGGATTCTATCAGTGATCCAGATGTTTAAATTTTTTTATTTTTGGTTATTTTGAGACAGGGTCTTACTGTATAGTTGAGACTGACCTGGAATTCACTATGTAGCCCAGGCTGGTCTTGAACTCAAAGCAGTCCTCCTGCCTCAGCCTCCCGAGTGCCGGGATTACAGGAGTGAGCCACCATGGCTGGCAGATGTTTAAAATTTTTAAGTTACACATCTTAAAATTTGTAAGAAATATTTCTTAAAAATATTGATCTATCAGCAGGTTATAGTGACACATCCCTGTAATCCCTGCCCTGAAGGAGGGTAAGACAGGAAGGTGACAAATTTGATTCCTACCAGTGCAATTTAGTGAGACCTTGTCTCAGAATAAAAAATAAAATGGGATAGGGATGTAGCTTAGTAGTAGAATTACCCATTAGTTTGTGTAAAAAAAAAAAAAATCTATAAAGTCAGTGCCATGTTTTCTGTAGTTTCTTCTTTCTTTCTTTGTCTTTATTTTGTGAGACAGGGTCTTGCTTGAACTCACTGTGTAGCCCAGGCTGGCCTCGAACTCTCAGTGATCTTCTTGCCTCAGCCTCCTTAGCCCTGGGATTACAGGTGTGCGCTGCCAAACCTGGCTGTTTGTACTAATATGATACAGAAAAGCTGTAAAAATAGTACAGAATTTCTTTTCTTTTTCTTTTTTCTTAAAAAATTTTTTTATTAGTACATGTTTGCAGTACATAATTACGTTCCTTGTGAGGATTGGTTCATGTTGATAGCATATAATACTTTAACTCTTCAGGAAGATACCTGTTTAAGAGTGTGTTGCTTAATTGCCATGTTTTTGCATAACTTCTGTGGTTTCTTGTGTTACTGGTTCTAGTTCCATTATATTATGATTTGATAATATGCATGGGGTAATTTTGATTCTTTTGCACCATGATTTTATGAGCTAACATGTGGCCTGTTTTGGAGAAAGTCCCATGTACTGCTGAGAAGAATGTGTATTCTGTTGTTGGATAAAACACCCTGTAGGTATCTATTAAGTCCATTTTTTCAAAGGTTTTGTTCAACTCTGATATTTCTGTGTTGCTGTTTTTGTCTAGTTGATCTATTTGACAGTGGTGTATGGAGATTTCCCTTTATAATTATATGGTGTTTATCTGATTTTTTTTTAATGTGCATAGTATTTGTTTAATGAAGTTGGGTTGCTGGTGTTTGCATATGTATTTATAATTGTTATCTCTTCCTGTTACATTGTTCCTTTAACTAATATGTAGTGATCTCCTTTGTCTCCTTTTTTCCGTTTTGGCTTGAAATCGACTGTCTCTGTAACTAGTATAGCTACTCCTGCTTTTTCTCAGGTTCCTGTTACATGGCATATTTTTTTCCAACCTTTGATATTTAGTGGGTTTTTTTTTTTTTTTTTTTTTTTTTTTTGAGACAGGGTCTCACTATGTAGTTAAGACTGACCTGGAATTCACTGTGTAGCCCAGGCTGGTGTTGAATTCACAGCGATCTTTCTTCCTCAGCCTCCTGAGTGCTGGGATTATAGGCGTGCACCACCACGCCCAGCTGTTCTAATATTTCTTGATTTTTTTGTCTAGTGGATCTATTTGTGATGGTGGGGTGTTGAAGTCTCCCATTATAATTATATTAGTGATTATTTGATTTTTTCATGTCTGTTGATTTGTTTTATATAGTTAGGTGTGCTGGTATTTGGTGCATATATATTTATGGTTTTTAATCTCTTCCTCTTGGATTGTCTCCTTTATAAGAAGGTAGTGTCCCTCTTTGTCTCTTAATCTGTCTTGGCTTGAAATCCATTTTGTCTGCAAATAAAATAGCTACCCATGCTTTTTTTCCAGTTTCCTGTGGCATGTAGTGTTTTGTTTGTTTGTTTGTTTTCTTTGTTTTTGGTACTAGGGATCGAACTCAGGACCTTGTATTTGTGAGGGAGGCAGCAGGCATTGGTATCACTTAGCTAAATCCCTGGCTGGAGTATTGTTTTTTATTCTTTGACTTTCAGCCTATGAATTTCTTTTTTAATTAAAATGAAATGTGTTTCTTGTATGCGCCATATTGTTGGATATTGCTTCTTGATCCATTTCTGCCAGTGTGTTTCTTTTTATTGGTGAATTGAGACCATTTATATTGATGGTTATGACTGATACATATTGCCTTATCCTTGTCATCTTATTTTCCTGTGATTGGTTACCTTTTTTCTCCCTCTGTTTAATTGCTTGTCTTGCTTGGTGGATTCATTCACTGGGGTTCATGGAGTTGTAGTCCTCATTATCTCTTTCTAGAATGTTCTTCAGAACATGTTGAAGTGCTGCTTTGGTGGTCAAGAATTTCTTCAGGTGTTGTTTGTCATGTTATTTCTCCATCAGTTTTGAAAGATAGTTTTGCAGGGCACATCAGGTTGGAGGGTATTTTAGGGCTTGAAATACTTCACTTCAAACTTTACTTGAGAGTGTGTGTTGAGAATTGTGCTGTGCTTTTGATGAGTTGTCCTTTATAGGTGAATTATTTCTTTTCTCTAACAACTTTTAATATTCTTTTCTTGTGTTGAATTTCTGGAATCTTGACTATTAATGTGTCTTGGTGTAGTTTTTTTGTTTGTTTTTTGTTTTTGTTTTTATCTTGAGTAACTGGAATGCTGTATGCCTCACTTACCTGTATGTCAAATTCTTTTTGCCTGCTTGGAATGTTTTCTGCCATTACTTCTTTAAACAGATTTTTAAAAAAATGTCACTTGTGTCATCTCCTGCTTTTTCATCAACTCCAATCAATATTATGTTATTCTTTGCATCTCTAGCAGCTGTTGGATTGATCCATGTTTTTTTGTTTGTTTGTTTGTTTTGATACCAGGGATCCAACTTGGGACCTTGTGCTTTCGAGGCAGGCAGTGGCACCACTGAGCTAAATCCCCGGCTGTTGGATTGATTTTTCATGGTCCCTTGTTACTTCAAAGAAGTCTTTCTTTCGATTTTTCATTTAATCCAGTTAGTCTCAAATTAGTTTTTGTTTTGTGGTCATTTGTTAGTTGTTGAATCTTTTTGTAATATTCTCTTGTTGATTTTAAGGTGTCTCTGTGTAATTGTTCTTTGCCATCATCCTTAACTTCAAGTTCTAATGATATTCTGATCTCATATTAGCCACTTCTGCTACCCATACTATCCATATAATTTTTGATGACCTGGATTTATGTTTGGAACCTTTTCATAGGCTCTAGTTCTTTGCTTAATTCATTCATGTTTTGTATCATTTTGTTTAGTTAAGCTAGCTTTTTATTAGTATCTTCTTTAAGCTCCCTGATTATTTCATTTATTACCTCAATTGTCTGATTAGGTATATTTTTTGTGAGCGAGCCAAGCACATCATTGATGTTTTTAATCTCCTCTATCATCCTTTTGAATAATTAATCTGTTTGACTTTGCTTTCATTCCCCTTCAGTGCCCGTTGGATAGCCTTTGAGGGAGTTAGGAGTTTAGGAGGCATTTTGTCATGTCTTCTCATGTTTCGTTTATTTTGTTATGTTTTGGTACCGGGAATCAGACTCAGGACCTTGTGCTTGCAAGGCAGGCACAGTGCTACTGAGCTAAATCCCCAGCCCTACCATTGGTTTTTTGTTTGCTTGTTTTGTTTTGTGCTTAGGTATGTGGCTGCTTATAGTGGAAAGACTGTTTTTCTAGTGTGGAGATCTCTTTCATTAGCCTGCTTTTCAGTGATGCACTCAGGGCATGGCTAACTATAGTCCTTTGCCTCTGCCCCAAGATCCTGTCATCTCTGTTAGTATGACGGAGGGATGCAATGTATTTGTTCCAGCCACCAGTTCTCTGAGAATGGACCCCAGTACTGTTAATATCACAAAGGTAATTTGGGTATTGACACAGAAAACCATTAATAGCAATAACTATGCAACCCTGGCAAAATCAAGTAAATCAGCAACAGTAGCATCACCCAAAACAAACAGGGTATTGACATACCCAACAACCTAAGACTTTTTTGCTAATGTGGCGATCTCTTTGATTAGTTTGCTTTTCATTGATATACTTGGGGCATAGCTAACTATTGTCCTTTGCCCCTGTTCCAAGATCTGATCACCTCTTTTAATTCGGGAGGGAAGGATGCAGTGCACTTGGCCCAGCACCTAGTTCTCTGGGAATGAACTGCCGTAATGTTAATCATACAAAGGCAATCCAGTTATTGGCCTACAGAAGAAACCAGTTAATACCAACAACTATGCAACAAAATTAACTACAACAATAGTGTCACACACAAACTGGATATTGACATACCAGAAGAACATCTAATGTAACCACCTTTAACCATAGAAAGGAGATCTGTAATTACAGTATAATCACTAAGACAAACTCTACAGTACAGATAGTAAATATCTACTCTCTTTAACCCAAAATAAGACCTAGCTGGAAAATTATCAGCCTTGAAAACCAGAGATCAAAAGTGTCAGCCCCAACCAATCTATCCTTGCCTTACCCTCCTTACAAAAGAGCCACTGAGCAAGGGAATAGTGACGGCAGGTAAAACTTCACACTGTGTTTACAGTTTACAGTAGCTGTGGGCTTTCCTTCAGACTGGCACTGCTGGTCTGCTCCGTTGTCTCTCCATGGGGCTGCTGACTCTGGATTTGCTTTCTCTGCCCAGGTGTTTACCATCAGGTGGGTTGGCCTCTCGGTCGGCCAGCCTTTGGTTGTAATTTTCACAACAATTTCTGTGAACCCCTCACACAGCTACCCCTGTCAACATCATATACTGCCATTGTACATTTATGAAAACCGGGAAATTACTTCACCTTCACCAGTCTTCCCAATACATCCTTTTCCTCTTTCTGAGGTCCATTTTGCATTTGCTGGTTATTCCTCCTTAGTCTTTTTCAGAGACTGGCAGTCTGTCTTTCTTAACCTTGATAGTTTTGGTGAGTATTGATACTGGGTCAGATGTCCCTCGTTTAGGATTTGTGTTCTCTTTGGACTGAATACATGTGGTTTTGGCCAAAATTCCACAGCAGTGATGTTCATGATATTGATCTTGACCAGTAGGTAAAGGTGGTGTCTAATGAGTTTGTGTTTTGTAAAGTTGTTTTTTCTCTTCTCTAAATAATCAATATCTAGGAGAGATTATGAAAAACCTTTATTTCTTTAAACTCTCATCCACTGTGTTAGCATCTGTTAGTAGATCTTGCCTGCAGCAGTTACTGCTTGGGGTATCTAATGGTGAATCTCTGTTTTCTTCTTTCTTTTCTATATCTGCTTATAGAATTTCTTCTATAAGGAAGAGCTATCCCTTTTCATATCTGTATCTATTTATAATCACTTACGCATATGTGTTTGCACTGAGGGAGGTTTTCCTCTGTGGATTATAATCTAGTATTTTTATTGTTTGCATTGTTCAGATCGTGCTGCCTTTGGCTGCTGGCGCTTTTCATCTTGGCTCCTGTTCTCTGGCTGAGCCTCTGCCTTTTGAGCACTTCCTTACTTTCCATTAGCACGAGAGGTTCTAGGCTCATCTTGTGTTCTCCCTGACTCAGCTCAGAATCAGGCTTCTCTAAGGAGTTCTGGTTCCTTTCATGGGAGAATGGTGTTTTTAAACCAACATTTGGCCCTCTGTTAGGACTGTGATATACTCTTTTTCTTTAGGACATCATCATTTTGGCATGGTGGGAGATCCTGGAACCACTGAGGGTTCCTGGGGACACTGAGGGTAACTCTATTTGTGTGTGTTTGCACAGTTACACAGTGATGGCAGTGTTGGGATCAACTATGAAGTGCATATACCATGGGGCTCCCATAAGTGTAAAATGGGGCTGAAAAGTTCTTGTTGCTTAGTATTTTTATTGTACTTTTTCTAAGTTTAGATACACAAATATTTAATACTGTGTTAAGAGTTGCCTACAGCATTTAATGCAGTAACTTGCTATATAGGTTTGTAACTTAGAGTTGGAGTAATGGACTCATCCCATGGAGCCTAGTGTGTGGCAGGCTAAACCGTCTAGGTCGTTCTCCTAGGTTTGTGTAAGTACTCTCTGTGATGTCCGCCTCATGATTAAATTGCCTCCTGGCTCATTTTTCAGGATATTTCCCCAACAGTATGTTACGTGTAACAGTATATTACATGGCAATATCCTACCACTCTGTCATACTGATGTGTCAGATACCACTTAAATAGCACACAGTATATTTAAGTCTACTCTTCTTATTTATAACTTATTTCTCTGACACTGAGAAATATAGTTCTTATTATTTGCCGTACATGTATTTGTTTAAACCTGGTGAACATGTGAAATAGTTCCAAAGTGCTCACCCATACCTGTAGAAGGACCACATTGGCCAGATTAAAGTATTTGTTTTGTTTTGGTTTTTTTGGTACCGGGGATTGAACTTGGGTCCTTGCGCTTGCAAGGCAGGCCACCAAACCGCTGAGCTAAATCCCCAGCCCCAGATTAAAGTGTTTGTATGCCCCACTACATCTGGTGAAGATGCTGCTTTCCAGGTTTTTCTCTTCCCACCTTCCTCATTTATTAGTGCTTATATTCCATTTTGGGGTTCCCTGTACTATCTCTCATCATTTTAATTGGTACTTGATATTTCAACATTGTATAGAAATTCAGAACGTACACAAATACCAACCCAAAAGCCCGTGTGTGAGATTTGTGAGATTTTGTATAGGATTATTTATTTGAAAGCACTCTATGACTCCAGCATTGGCTCGCTGAAGATCGCTGGGACCTTGTATGGACATTCCAGTGTGATGACCTACTGAGGAAGGTTAGGAATAGCGTCACCTGGATAGCTGAGTCTTAGGCTGACGTTCCGTTTGGGTAGCTTACCCTGTATCAGAATGGAGTATTATTCCATATGTATATATA